AAATAATGAATGATTTTCAAATCATTTGGCTTCTAATGATGCCATGCCTCATAAGGGGTCATATTCATGATTACTCTAGTAGGAGAATTATTCAAAAGACAAATAGTTGTTGCAACCACTTTAGCCCAAATATCATTAGGAAGATATATTCTCACAAGACATGCTTCAAGTCATCTCTACAATTGTTTTATTTTTCCTTTCAATAATATTATTTTGCTCTAGAGTTTTTCTATTTGTGAGCTGCCTTCTAATGCTATATTTCCTTCAAAATAACTTTAATTCAGAAGATATAACTTCTCCCCCTCAATGTTTTGATGAGTTTTGATAACATGTAGACTTGATTTTTCACCAAAGACTTTAAACCAAATAAATTTACCAAATGCTTCAAATGTTTTAGTAGGAAAATGTACCCAAAGCATGTGTGTAACGTCATCAATAATCAATAGATGTGTTTATGACAACTAACATTGATGATGTTTTCTAATGTAAAAATCCTAGAAAGTAAGACTTTCTCTTGAATTATTACATGCTAATATATGTCGTCTAATGAGTACATCTTTGAACAATAATCAATAAAATCATAAATGACCATATCATAAATGCCAAAGTTAAGATGGATCATTCTCTTTACTTATCATGTCTAATTTACAAAGTCATAAAATATGAAGAGAAAACATTATTTTCTTAAATTTAAGAATCAGTATAAGAGAGATGCCACTTTTTTATGTTTGATAACATATATGTCATCTTCAAAATGAGCAATATAATCATATTCCAACAATTGACCCACAGTAGGTAAATTATGTTGTAATTTTGGAAGATAATATACATCATAAATCAAAATATTTGTACTTGATGTTGTACGATCAATAATAATACCAATGACTTCAATTTCACACTATTTTTATCACCAGTTGTAACATCACATAGTATAGATGTATCAATATTCTGAAATAAATTCCTTTCTCCCATCATATGATGCTTCAACCGCTATCAACAAATCATATATTTGACTAGTATTTAAAGATGCAAAAGTAAGGAAAAAATTGTTAAAATTATTTAATACAATAATATTTAGTTACTCATTTAATACAATAATACAATAAATTATTTATTTGACTAGTATACAATAATAGACCTATACTTCTTAAAAAAGTTGCATACTGGCGTAGAACTCACTTCTCTAATTTCTTTTTGTTGCTTTACCTTGTCCCAATAATATGCTTCAATATATTCATATTTCTCACAAAAATGATATTACATCATTTTATAATTTGGTTTTTCATTTTGATTGTTTCCACCATCATATTTTTGTTGTCTATAATTAGATCTACCACGTCGCCTCCATGACCTCGATTATGATAATTTTCATCACCTTTATTTCTACTATCATGCTGTTGGTTTGAAGTACTTTCACTATTTTTCTCTTTTTTTCGAAATTTCAAACTAAACTTGAAATACATGTTCAAGTGATTTTTTTGTAGATCCATTCGTTCTTTCTTCATGTCCCAATAAAGATCTCATCAATTTATTTTGGTATAAATAGAAAAATATTTAGACTATTCTGTGGCAGCAAGAACATGAAGAAATAAGTTTTTTTTGATATTTTTTCCTTCTGGAATATCTTCCAAAAAAATTAATTTGATTGAAAATAATTGAAGTTCGAGAAAATAAATCATGAAAAGGATTCACCAGATTTCATATGGATAGTTTCAATTTTTTTCTGAAGTGTTTGAAGTTTCATAGTCATAACCCTATTGTTTCCTTGAAATTAATCTCTTAAAGTTTTTTATGCCTATGAAGCACTCTTGGCATTAATAATTAGTGGAAAAAGGCTTATGAAATTGACTACTGAAAAACCAACAATGTCTTAGCATCTTTTTCTGAAATTTCATATTATCTTCTTTAGGACTCTCTCATTCTTTATTACCATTCTCAACTGAATCTCATAAATCTTGAGAAACAAAAATTATCTTTATCTTAATACTCCAAAAATCATATTTGTTCCTATTGAGAAATGGCACAAAAGGTTCAAATAGGTTGAGAAGATTAACATTCGATAGTTTCAATGTCAGTGGTGTTACCAGTTCACAAAAATTTCAAACAAAACCTTCATGTTCGTTGACACAGCAAAGAATCTTCAGAATACCCAAAAGATTTCACCAACCTTGTTTGTTTTATGTTACTACAATCTTTAGGGAAAAAGAAAAGGCTCTAATACATGAATTCGGTGCTCTAGTACCACTTGTATGAAAAATGAGGAAAATTTATGGAGAGACACGATATATTTTTGGGAGAGAATGAGAATAGAGGAGAGGAAACGAGAGATTTCATGCACATGAAAGACCCTTGATTAAGAACCGTGACGAATACACCCGCGGAGGAGAGAGAGAGAGAGAGAGAGAGAGAGAGAGAGGTTATTTATATTCTACATAAATTCCCCTAGTGGGCCGCTCCTTTTTCACCCACTAAAGACAAAAAAAAGTCCTCACCTTTTGGCCCAATAAGAAAAGCACATTAAACGACTTATTCTATTTTTTGCAATAAATACTAAGATGTGCGTGTAACAATGACATCCTACAACACCACATTAAAAATGATGCATTTTCTCAATACTTGCAAACTTATTTCTTACGATCTGCCGCTCGCAATGGTTTGGGGAAAATTCAGGGGACAAAGGGCGTATATTTGACAACAACCCGTGCCACAGATCATCATAAATGAGATGCTTCTTCTTGCTATAAAAACGTCCTGCGCCGTATTTGATGGAATATGGTAGTCTACAGCGCCGCCGTATTTGACAAAGGCAGAGCGAGGAAGCAGCGTCAGTGGCGGTTGACGACCCTACAGCGCCGCCTGATCTCGCCTTTACGTCCGGTGAGCACGTCGATGGATCCCATGTGCACCATGGCGGCTGCGTACTTCTCCTGCCAGCGGTGTGGATTCTTCGTGTTGGCCGCGACCAATTTAGCCGTCCGGGAGCTGCTCCACAACGTCTGGTCGGAGGTCAACAAACCCCTCCCTTTCTTCAGGTTTCTGTAGTACTGGATATCCAGATGGTGGGGCGTCCCCAGGTCCAGGGGAACAGTGGGATCATCCCGGTCGTTTGTACGCGGACGCGGGCACCTGCTCTTCAAGAACGCCGCGAGGTCGGGATCCATGGAGGGATCCTGTTGGTGGGTGGAGTTGAACCCGTACAGCCTGCTGTTGAAGGACGAGCAGTGGGAGACGCCGATGGAATGGGCCCCGGAGAGGGTCACCATCTCGTCCACCGACAGCCCTTTCCTCGCGAAATTCTCTTTGAGCTGCTCAGCGTTGAAGCTGGGTGGAGGAAGATTGCCCTGGATCTCAGACTCCAAAGACACCCTCCCGTCTCGCCTACCTCCCGGAAGTTCGTAAAAGAAGCCGCCAGTGAAGTAAGCGGCGTCGCGAGCTGCGAAGGCCAGGACATCGGCGCAAGATACGGTGTTGGGGCAGTGGGATTCGAGAACAGCCTTGGCTTCGTCGATCACCTCGAAACCGCGCAGGCTCGGGTTGTTCGCCGGATGCTGTCTCTCCGCGGGTTTTCCGGGGGTAGAATCCAGGAGAACCGAACCATCACATCCCTGTTTAAAAACCCAGAACGGTCCTCATGAGATCTTCAGTCCGTAATCAGTTTACGGTGTTCTTTTCCCTCTTCTGTTTAGTGGAATGAAGAAGACGGTGGGGAGGGGATGTAGCTCACCCTGACGAAGCAGTCGTGGAAGTGCATCCTGATGACCCCGGCGGCTATCCCGCGGTTGTTGCCGACGGCCCGGCCGACGACGTTCCTGACGATTGTCTCCGCGTCGGGGCACGTCCGCTTGTAGAATCCCACTTTGAGTGAACTTGCGGATGCGCTGGGAACTAGGAGATAGAGGGAGAGCACGAGCGCCAAGCAAACACGTATGGTCTCCATTTGGTGTCCTCTGCCGGTGTGTCTCCGTCTTCTGCACTGGAATGCAAGCTGCTCGATTGAGGAACGACGGGGAGAGAGGGGAGGGGTGGGAGAGCAGCCGGCTGGGACAAAACCCGGAAGCTGAGTCGAATATTTCTGGTGGAGATGAGATGGCCCCCCTCAGCCGTGGTGGGATATTTATACATGTTCCCCCCTAGTGTGTTGACTTTTTCTTATCCGTGTTTTAAATCAAGAGACGGCCAGAAGAATTGCTCTTGCTTGCTGACCGTTTCCGTTAATCTCAAAAACCGCGTCCTCTGACCACGTACTGTGTTGACAATTTAAGGTAGCGTGAATAAACCTGGTCTTTCGACTCGGATAGAGACAGGGAGGATAGGTCGGGGTGGGACGATAAAAGGTACTAGGGCTCAGAGCGAATTCTTTGGCGTAAACTTGTTTCCGGGCGTAGACTCTCGCACGAAGTGTGAATAAGTTTACCTGTCGATAAGTCGTAAATGATTAATTTATCGAGACCAGAAAATACTTGCTCGGTAGAACTGTAGATGACAGTTTATCAATCCCGCTGTATCGTTGACTTTTTCATTTCGGCATATTCCACGAGACGGACAGAGTCGCACGAGTGACGTAAATTACCCCTGAACGTAACCATCGCAAGCACACACGCTTGGATGACGCTGGTGACCAATAGCAAGGGGGAGCCGGTAGTCAAGATGACCCTCTCTCCTTCCCTCTCTGTGTGTCCTCAACCGTTAATAATAGAATTATTCTATGACTGGTGAGATCATTGGTCAATGTAGGAAGGCCGAGATAGGAAGCAGTCAGGCTCCTCTCGCACACGTTTGAATAACCCTCAACCTCATTGTCAAACTCAAAATGTCTACCTCAAGGTGTCTATAAATAAGCTTCCATTAATTGATTAGGAGGTCACCCCACCTCTCACCTGACACCTCGTATCCCATTTCTCCGACCTCCTCCACCCTCCCTCTCCTCTTCTTCGGAAGGAACGCTCAGGAGCCGGGGAACCCAGCACGGAAGGAAGAGGCTCAAGGGGATCTGCGGAGCAATGTTGCGAACCATGTGGGGATGCTGTATCGTGTTCCTACTGGTCCTCCAGGCCGCGGCTCCCACAGCTGCCTCGCATTCTCTGAAGGTGGGGTTTTACGAGAAGAGCTGCCCCCAGGCACAGAACGTCGTCAGAGACGTCGTGAGCAACGCCCTCGCCGCCAACAAGGGGATAGGCGCGGGGCTCATCAGACTGCACTTCCACGACTGCTTCGTCAGGGTACGCCACCGTCGCTTCTCCTCCTTCGTCCGTCCTTCATTCAAAATAGCTATCAACCGAAGACACTCCCAACAAGATAATTTCTTATATCAACCGGACTAGTAGACGTCTGACTCGCCTCCGTGATTCTGCGAACAGGGTTGTGACGCCTCCGTTCTGCTTGAAGGCAGGGACTCGGAGAGGATGCATCCGGCCAACTTGAACAGCCTGCGGGGTTTCGAGGTGGTCGAGGGGGCCAAGGATCTCCTCGAATCGCAGTGCCCCAACACGGTGTCATGCGCCGACGTCCTGGCCTTCGCCGCCCGCGACGCCGCGGAATTATTAGGCGGTTTCCGCTACAAGGTCCCGGCTGGAAGGCGGGACGGGAGGATCTCCCGGAACTCCGACGCCGACGTCCTTCCCCCGCCCACCGATAGTGCCGAGACACTCCGCGACAGATTCGCGGAGAAGGGGTTATCGCTAGAAGACATGGTGGCGCTCTCCGGCGCACACTCTCTCGGCGTCTCCCACTGCCCGTCCTTCTCCACCAGGCTATACAACTTCAACGCCACCCACCCGCAGGATCCCTCCATGGATGCCGACCTTGCCGACTACCTCAAGAGGCGTTGCCCGCCTCCGGGAACGGACCGCACAACCGTGTCCCTGGACCTCGCCACCCCCAATCGCCTGGACGTCCAGTACTACAGAAACCTGCAGAGGGGGAGGGGGCTCTTCACCTCCGACCAGACGCTGTGGACCAGCTCTCTGACGGCGGATAAGGTGGCGTCGTTCGCCGAGAAGCCCAACGGCTGGGCGAAGAAGTACGCGGCCGCCATGGTGCGGATGGGTGCCATCGACGTGCTGACAGGGAACGAGGGCGAGATCAGGGTCAAGTGCGCTGTGGTCAACGGCCTCTAAACCCTTTTACACATTTGTGATCCTATTTCCATCATTTCTCTCTTCCAGGAATTCAGATTGGGATGTCTGTAAATGTACAGTAGATTTACGGATGAGACATCGAATAGATGTGGAAGGTCGCCTAAGCTGTATTCGGATGTAAAATGCCATTTCAAGTTTGTTATTGGAGTTGTGTCTGGACAGTCTTATTGGACGTTGTTGGACCTCTTTCCGGTTGAATACTTAGTTTTTAGGAGTCCGCTAGATCTTGCGCTGGATAGTGTATGTATGCGGCATCTATCCTTACTTATTCTGTGAAGTGTTGTTGCAACTGAATGTTGTGCTTGGTTGGGGATGTCCTGAGCGGGTTTCTGGTTACGATTACCTCAAGATCGCGTTACGCAGACGATGTGTTTTCCGCGGTATCTTCTCACGATGTAGCGCTTGTGAAGGTTGCAGTTCAGGGAGAGTCCTGAGAAAGAACGCAGTGAGCGGTACCAAGCGTGAATATTGCGCCTATTTACCCGAAGAACCTCCTACTTTAGATAGTCTCCCTACTCCGAACTGGATATTCTTTTGATTTTAGTGTGAAAGCAGCGTTCATATTTTCTATGCTTAGTAAAGCACGGTTTAGATGCTCCTTCACCATCCTCAACCTGTCTTGTAACACAAGCAAATCATTGGCTTTAAAGTGTATAAAATGTATGTTATTGAGTCCAAGAGATGAACAAAAGGTAAAGATAGAAGAAACATTCTAGGACCTCGCCACCCCCAATCGCCTGGACGTCCAGTACTACAGAAACCTGCAGAGGGGGAGGGGGCTCTTCACCTCCGACCAGACTCTGTGGGGCAGCTCCCTGACGGTCGCGAAGGTGGCGTCGTTCGCCGAGAAGCCCAACGGCTGGGCGAAGAAGTACGCGGCCGCCATGGTGCGGACGGGTGCCATCGACGTGCTGACTGGGAACGAGGGCGAGATCAGGGTGAAGTGTGCTGTGGTGAACGGCCACTAAACACTTTGAACATTTGTGATCTTATTTCATTATGTATTACTTGCGGCAATTCATACTGGGATGCCTTTAAATGCAGAGAAGTTTGTTGATTCACCGACCGAGACATTGAATAAATGTGCATGATGGATTTAATAGGCCTGTTTAGAATGCGGGAGAGCTGGTTTACTACAAGACGGATGGTGCCTGTTTTGACAGTGGTGAAAAAGGCGGGAGATATTTGGGCAAATATTTCTTTCAGGTATCAGATATATGAGCAGTGAGTTTGAAGCGACTTCTAACGACCACCACTGATCATAAGGTTGAGATATTTGGATCAGTTGAAATTTTATTTGAAGAAGGATTTTTCTCATAGTAAATTCGGGTATTCAGGTTAGAGAGTTGGAGAGGAGACTCAATGTTGAGAATCAGTCATGGGATGGCATTGAACGGTTTTTCAACAAGGTACCATTTGATTCGAGATCTTCTAGGCGGATTAAGGAAATGCCAAGTATAAATTATTGATTTCGAATATAGACAACCATCATAAATAAGTAACAAACTAGTGAGAATGTTAGAAATCAGGCTTGAAAGATTCAAATCGTAAAGATAGTACCTTCTGAAAGACACTTCTACTTTGGGATAGCTTCTGTAGCATATAGGAATCCAGGTAACGGATTTTTGATCTAAATGTTCATAAGACTTGGCTCATTACTTGGTCGTGATCAGATAATTAATATTCTAGTTGCCATGCTAGATTTAAATGTCAAGAAAAGACATGTTGATGTCATTGGTTTTATAATTAAATAAATATTTATTGATAAGTGATCATTCGAATATGATACTTCATTATATATGTTATTTATTTATATGTTTCAAATATTTAATATTTTAAAATATATATTTACTTTATTTTATTAAAAAATTATAATATTTCAACTAATAATGAAATCTGAGGTGTTAGACCTTCAGATTGGCTGATTCTCTACCTTACAAATACTTGAGTACAAAAGGGTATTATTAGCTTGAGAAATATCATGTATTGAAAAGGTTAAGTACGTAGTCACATGGTAAAATTTATTACAAGTAATCTGAAATATTTTCACCATTGATTATATCAATGATGCAATAATCTTATGCAATGGTAATTATCTTGAAATGATGTTGGTAGGTTTCTTGAATGATCTAAATCATTAAACAAGAAAATGAGAAAAAAATCAATGTGTTGTTATTCAGGTACAAATTTGAATAGAAATGTCCATAAGGATAAGGAGATTCCAAGATTAGAACATCAAAATGTTGTTACTACATGCTCAAGAAAATGACAAGGTTTTGAACAAAAAAAATTAAATATTAGAGGTCTCATAAAATGGAGAAACTGGTGTAGAATAAAGGCTAGATTAATACATGAGCATTGAATGCTCATCATCAGTCTCTTTGCGCCACACACATTGATGGTTATTGATAAATACAACGCCCTCAATCCAGAAAATAACCAACCCAACCACAGTAACTTTTACTTTTTACCAAGTCCTAAGGTAACTAGGCTATGAGAGGAGTGTATTGTGTGAAGGCATGAGGTGCTCATACTGTATTTGGCCTCGAAAGGGTTCAGCCTTTGAGGAGACGAATTTTTTGTTTAGATTGATAATCTCACAAATATCAGCATGTATTCTTGAGGAAAATAAGGGAATAATCAACGATAGTTCCCTCCTTTATTTGTTTTTTTTTTCAAATTAAATAATTTAATTTTTGACTGATTGCAAGAGTAGGTGAGGCTGAGCATAGTATAATGATAATCAGAAGAAGAAAGAGACAATCCACACTACTGCCATTGATCTTCTTCGCAAGAGAAGAAGAAATAGAAGCAAGAAGAATATGAAGAAGCATAGTTTTAGTCTGCACATCACTATGATTGTGATCAAGCGTCAAAATAAATATTCATTATTGAGTAATGTTCATCTACCTTTTTTATACTAAATTGTTCGAGATGAGGTCTCCTTAGAGCCTAATATCTAGAAAATGAAAGTGACGGACTTCTCTAACTTCATCTCCTAGAGCCATAGAATCTAAGAAAAGAGAGGCAGGGAGCTTCTCTAGCTTGGCCTGCTGGTGTTGTTGAATGTAGAAGAGAGAACTGCAGAGCTTCTTTACCTTTGAAAATATAGAACCATACAATTTCAGAAGAGATGTAGAAAACTTGACACAACTAGCATTCTTAATATCATGCAGCTATTTAGAACTCAAAACACTAGTCCATTAAATTGAAGTTAAGCGTCAAGCACAAGTGTGAGAAACTAAATTGGATTTCTGATGCACTAAGTTGAAGTTAAGCATACTTCGTCACTTTTTATGCTGAAATAATTTATTTTGACTGTTTTAAATATTTATATGAAGATGATTTAGAGTTATGTTAAGTAGGTGATGCTCATAGACTTGTCAATTAACCAAATAATTTGACACCTAAGAAAAGTTCTTTTTACATGGGAATCAGTCGTGCATTTCAGAAAGCACATTGCATGAAAAATTGAATCGTGAATTATGCGGAGGATTAGGAGGACATAAAATGTGCCATAAACCCTGCAAGTAGGAGAGGAGCGATACTTTTGGCAGCAGTTAAAGAATGATATGAAAATTTTGTACAAAGATGTCATAGTTGTCAAGTTTACAGAGAGCAGTACCAAAACACGAGATTTTAGGCTCCATTGGCAATTTCAGAAATACTCTACCATACATATCTTGAATTTAAAATTTAGGCTGTTGTGAATACACAGAATGGTAGATTCCCTTCTGTGGTTGCGGACAGATCATATAAAAAGACAATTATTGCTACAAGAAGACAAACAATGCATTAGATGAAGCTAGTTTATTCTTTAAGAAGATAATTAAATTACATGAAATTCTTTAGTCAACCTACCAGATTGAGACACAAAGTTCCCATCATATTTTTTGTGTACTCTTCCGAGAAGGTAACATTCTTAAAAATTTAATAATACCACTGAAGCTCCATATAAACTATCAAATATTAGTAAGTAGAACACTCACGAAATTGACTTGGTATATTTTAGGAGATCGAGGAAGAAGTGAGTTTAGTTTTCGTTTAAGCATAGTTCGTAGTCAGTTGGTTAGGCCATTTTGACATGCGCGAGTCTGGCCAAGGATTCCAGTATAGAATAAGGGCTCCCTTGTTCTTGTCGCGCGACTGCTATCATTATTCATCGATGGTAGTTTCGAATCCATTCATTCTCTTTTATGCGGTCAATAAAACCAGATGAACGGTGTCCGCTCACAACAGCGACGTGATTTGCGAAGCACTGTTGCGGAGACAAGTGGAGAAGAATATTCCAATACGCTGAAAGTTGTAGAAGAGGGAGACATGGGGGCAGCTCACTCTTCACATGTCAATATTATTCCATCATTTCATATGTATGTCGGGAGTCGTCTTCTCGCATTTCACGCCTGTAGGCCACCACAACCGATTCCGTGTTTTACTGCCCAGCCGACGAACACGAGAACTCAGTAACAGCTCTGCGTCCCCAACAAGATCGACAGAGAGAGAAAGAGCGAGAGAGATAGAGAGAGACACACAGAGAGGGAAGGAGAGAGGGTCATCTTGACTACCGGCTCCCCCTTGCTATTGGTCACCAGCGTCATCCAAGCGTGTGTGCTTGCGATGGTTACGTTCAGGGGTAATTTACGTCACTCGTGCGACTCTGTCCGTCTCGTGGAATATGCCGAAATGAAAAAGTCAACGATACAGCGGGATTGATAAACTGTCATCTACAGTTCTACCGAGCAAGTATTTTCTGGTCTCGATAAATTAATCATTTACGACTTATCGACACGTAAACTTATTCACACTTCGCGCGAGAGTCTACGCCCGGAAACAAGTTTACGCCAAAGAATTCGCTCTGAGCCCTAGTACCTTTTATCGTCCCACCCCGACCTATCCTCCCTGTCTCTATCCGAGTCGAAAGACCAGGTTTATTCACGCTACCTTAAATTGTCAACACAGTACGTGGTCAGAGGACGCGGTTTTTGAGATTAACGGAAACGGTCAGCAAGCAAGAGCAATTCTTCTGGCCGTCTCTTGATTTAAAACACGGATAAGAAAAAGTCAACACACTAGGGGGGAACATGTATAAATATCCCACCACGGCTGAGGGGGGCCATCTCATCTCCACCAGAAATATTCTACTCAGCTTCCGGGTTTTGTCCCAGCCGGCTGCTCTCCCACCCCTCCCCTCTCTCCCCGTCGTTCCTCAATCGAGCAGCTTGCATTCCAGTGCAGAAGACGGAGACACACCGGCAGAGGACACCAAATGGAGGCCATACGTGTTTGCTTGGCGCTCGTGCTCTCCCTCTATCTCCTAGTTCCCAGCGCATCCGCAAGTTCACTCAAAGTGGGATTCTACAAGCGGACGTGCCCCGAGGCGGAGACAATCGTCAGGAACGTCGTCGGCCGGGCCGTCGGCAACAACCGCGGGATAGCCGCCGGGGTCATCAGGATGCACTTCCACGACTGCTTCGTCAGGGTGAGCTACATCCCCTCCCCACCGTCTTCTTCATTCCACCAAACAGAAGAGAGAAAAAGAACACCGTAAACTGATTACGGACTGAAGATCTCATGAGGACCGTTCTTGGCTTTTAAACAGGGATGTGATGGTTCGGTTCTCCTGGATTCTACCCCCGGAAAACCCGCGGAGAGACAGCATCCGGCGAACAACCCGAGCCTGCGCGGTTTCGAGGTGATCGACGAAGCCAAGGCTGTTCTCGAATCCCACTGCCCCAACACCGTATCTTGCGCCGATGTCCTGGCCTTCGCAGCTCGCGACGCCGCTTACTTCACTGGCGGCTTCTTTTACGAACTTCCGGGAGGTAGGCGAGACGGGAGGGTGTCTTTGGAGTCTGAGGTCCAGGGCAATATTCCTCCACCCAGCTTCAACGCTGAGCAGCTCAAAGAGAATTTCGCGAGAAAAGGGCTGTCGGTGGACGAGATGGTGACCCTCTCTGGGGCCCATTCCATCGGCGTCTCCCACTGCTCGTCCTTCAACAGCAGGCTGTACGGGTTCAACTCCACCCACCAACAGGATCCCTCCATGGATCCCGACCTCGCGGCGTTCCTGAAGAGCAGGTGCCCGCGTCCGCGTGCCAACAACCAGCGTGACCCCACTGTTCCCCTGGACCTGGCGACGCCTTACCATCTGGATATCCAGTACTACAGAAACCTGAAGAAAGGGAGGGGTTTGTTGACCTCCGACCAGACGTTGTGGAGCAGCTCCCGGACGGCTAAATTGGTCGCAGCCAACACGAAGAATCCACACCGCTGGCAGGAGAAGTACGCAGCCGCCATGGTGCACATGGGATCCATCGACGTGCTCACCGGACGTAAAGGCGAGATCAGGCGGCGCTGTAGGGTCGTCAACCGCCACTGACGCTGCTTCCTCGCTCTGCCTTTGTCAAATACGGCGGCGCTGTAGACTACCATATTCCATCAAATACGGCGCAGGACGTTTTTATAGCAAGAAGAAGCATCTCATTTATGATGATCTGTGGCACGGGTTGTTGTCAAATATACGCCCTTTGTCCCCTGAATTTTCCCCAAACCATTGCGAGCGGCAGATCGTAAGAAATAAGTTTGCAAGTATTGAGAAAATGCATCATTTTTAATGTGGTGTTGTAGGATGTCATTGTTACACGCACATCTTAGTATTTATTGCAAAAAATAGAATAAGTCGTTTAATGTGCTTTTCTTATTGGGCCAAAAGGTGAGGACTTTTTTTTGTCTTTAGTGGGTGAAAAAGGAGCGGCCCACTAGGGGAATTTATGTAGAATATAAATAACCTCTCTCTCTCTCTCTCTCTCTCTCTCTCTCTCCTCCGCGGGTGTATTCGTCACGGTTCTTAATCAAGGGTCTTTCATGTGCATGAAATCTCTCGTTTCCTCTCCTCTATTCTCATTCTCTCCCAAAAATATATCGTGTCTCTCCATAAATTTTCCTCATTTTTCATACAAGTGGTACTAGAGCACCGAATTCATGTATTAGAGCCTTTTCTTTTTCCCTAAAGATTGTAGTAACATAAAACAAACAAGGTTGGTGAAATCTTTTGGGTATTCTGAAGATTCTTTGCTGTGTCAACGAACATGAAGGTTTTGTTTGAAATTTTTGTGAACTGGTAACACCACTGACATTGAAACTATCGAATGTTAATCTTCTCAACCTATTTGAACCTTTTGTGCCATTTCTCAATAGGAACAAATATGATTTTTGGAGTATTAAGATAAAGATAATTTTTGTTTCTCAAGATTTATGAGATTCAGTTGAGAATGGTAATAAAGAATGAGAGAGTCCTAAAGAAGATAATATGAAATTTCAGAAAAAGATGCTAAGACATTGTTGGTTTTTCAGTAGTCAATTTCATAAGCCTTTTTCCACTAATTATTAATGCCAAGAGTGCTTCATAGGCATAAAAAACTTTAAGAGATTAATTTCAAGGAAACAATAGGGTTATGACTATGAAACTTCAAACACTTCAGAAAAAAATTGAAACTATCCATATGAAATCTGGTGAATCCTTTTCATGATTTATTTTCTCGAACTTCAATTATTTTCAATCAAATTAATTTTTTTGGAAGATATTCCAGAAGGAAAAAATATCAAAAAAAACTTATTTCTTCATGTTCTTGCTGCCACAGAATAGTCTAAATATTTTTCTATTTATACCAAAATAAATTGATGAGATCTTTATTGGGACATGAAGAAAGAACGAATGGATCTACAAAAAAATCACTTGAACATGTATTTCAAGTTTAGTTTGAAATTTCGAAAAAAAGAGAAAAATAGTGAAAGTACTTCAAACCAACAGCATGATAGTAGAAATAAAGGTGATGAAAATTATCATAATCGAGGTCATGGAGGCGACGTGGTAGATCTAATTATAGACAACAAAAATATGATGGTGGAAACAATCAAAATGAAAAACCAAATTATAAAATGATGTAATATCATTTTTGTGAGAAATATGAATATATTGAAGCATATTATTGGGACAGGGTAAAGCAACAAAAAGAAATTAGAGAAGTGAGTTCTACGCCAATATGCAACTTTTTTAAGAAGTATAGGTATATTGAAGTAAATTGTTGGGATAGGAAAAATGAGTAACTAAATATTATTATATTAAATAATTTTAATTTTTTTTCCTTACTTTTGCATCTTTAAATACTAGTCAAATATATGATTTGTTGATAGCAGTTGAAGCATCATATGATGGGAGAAAGGAATTTATTTCAGAATATTGATACATCTACAGTATGTGATGTTACAACTGGTGATAAAAATAGTGTGAAATTGAAGTCATTGGTATTATTATTGATCGTACAACATCAAGTACAAATATTTTGATCTATGATGTATATTATCTTCCAAAATTACAACATAATTTACCTACTGTGGGTCAATTGTTGGAATATGATTATATTGCTCATTTTGAAGATGACATATATGTTATCAAACATAAAAAAGTGGCATCTCTCTTATACTGATTCTTAAATTTAAGAAAATAATGTTTTCTCTTCATATTTTATGACTTTGTAAATTAGACATGATAAGTAAAGAGAATGATCCATCTTCACTTTGGCATTTATGATATGGTCATTTATGATTTTATTGATTATTGTTCAAAGATGTACTCATTAGACGACATATATTAGCATGTAATAATTCAAGAGAAAGTCTTACTTTCTAGGATTTTTACATTAGAAAACATCATCAATGTTAGTTGTCATAAACACATCTATTGATTATTGATGACGTTACACACATGCTTTGGGTACATTTTCCTACTAAAACATTTGAAGCATTTGGTAAATTTATTTGGTTTAAAGTCTTTGGTGAAAAATCAAGTCTACATGTTATCAAAACTCATCAAAACATTGAGGGGGAGAAGTTATATCTTCTGAATTAAAGTTATTTTGAAGGAAATATAGCATTAGAAGGCAGCTCACAAATAGAAAAACTCTAGAGCAAAATAATATTATTGAAAGGAAAAATAAAACAATTGTAGAGATGACTTGAAGCATGTCTTGTGAGAATATATCTTCCTAATGATATTTGGGCTAAAGTGGTTGCAACAACTATTTGTCTTTTGAATAATTCTCCTACTAGAGTAATCATGAATATGACCCCTTATGAGGCATGGCATCATTAGAAGCCAAATGATTTGAAAATCATTCATTATTTCACATACCTTAATAGATCCTAATAATTTTTACAATATGGACAAGAAGATTGAGACATGTATTCTTCTTTACCATAGTGATGAGAGTAAGGGTTATTATTTATAATCTTGAAAAAATAAATTATTGATTCAATGTGATGTTATATTTGATGAATATAGTCGTTATAGTTAGATTAAAAATCTAATTCGTCAAATATCTTCTTAAGAATATGGATAGAAATTTATACAATTCAGTGAAGATTCAACGCTTGAAGCTCCCACCTAATCTACCTCACTTTGGAGAGAGTCTCCAAAAATTCTAGTAATTTTAATGGGGACTAGCAATTATAAAAGTCTAGATTCATCCAATACTCAAAGAAAAATGAGATCTTTAAATGGCATTTATGAATCGTATATTTTTCTTCTTATGGCTGTAGAGCTCATAAGTTATGAGGTATAAAGTGGGTGAGGGCAATAAAAGAAGAAATTATAGTAGTCAAGAAGAATAACACATGGGAATTGGTGGATTTGCCATCAAAGACTATAGCTATTGGTGTCAAATAGGTATATAAGGTGAAGCATAAATCTGATGGTAATAGTAGAAAATATAAGGCAAGATTAGTGGTGAAAGTGATATGCACTCTATTGTAACATTTGAAATAAAAGTATTCTTTTGTCTTGGCAGCACAAATGAAATGAAAAATACATCAATTTAATGTTAAATCAGTATTTTTAAATAGTTATTTGAATAGAAACCTCTATATTGAATAGCCCTAAGGTTTTATTATTGGTGAGAGAGAGAATAAATCTTATAAATTGAAGAAGTCACTCTATGATCTTAAACAAGTGCCTAGATTATGATATAGTAGATTTGACTCATATTTTCATGAGTATAATCTTCATCGAAGTGATAATTTAACCAAAACTTTATGTTCAGATTAAAAGAGAAGATACTCTAATTATACATGTTTATGTTGATGATATTATCTATATTGAATAAGCTTTGTTATTAATTTCTTAATTCAAAACTTTTATGATGGTTGAATTTGATATGACTAATTTGAGATTATTTCATTATTTTCTTAGAAATAATATCTCACATGAAAAGTATGCATCTGATTCACATTATAACTCAAACATGTTTAATTAAAAGACTAATCTACTCGTATGAATACCAATGACACATTATGTCTTGTTGATGAGACTCAGAAATAAATTAATATTTTTATAGAAACTTGGTTGGTGGATTAATGTATTTGACTCATAGACTAGATATAATCCTTTCAATTACCGTGATTTCAAGATTTATGTATTCTCCATCGGTTCATCATCTTGGAGCAACAAATCTAATACTTTATTATGTTCAAAGGACTATCAATCATGAAATTTCTATCATTTGAATTTGAATTTTATGATTATTCTAATAATGATTGGGCAAATTCTATTGATTATAGAAAAAGCAAGTGTTTCCTTTTTAGTTTTGGTTCAGGTGCCAATTCGTGGATTTCAACGAAATAGGAATCTAAAATATTATCATCATCAGAAGCTGAATACATCGACATAAAAGTAATGTGGATACGAAGGATGTTAGAAGAAGATGTCAATTTGCTACAATCAACAACAAAGGTGACATATTAAGATATTATTTCAACTATATCAATGACAAAGAATCTAATATTTCATAGAAGAACGAAAAAGATTGAAATTTGTCACCATTTTATTTGAGGTTTACTTGCTGTAAATTCTATTGGAATGAAGTTTTGCCCAACATTGGATCAAGTTGCAGATGGTTTTAAAAGACATAAAGGTAAACAAAGTTCACCAAATTCATAGAACCTCTTGGTCTTTTGCATTAAGGTAAACAGAATAGAAGAAGTCATTCAATAATTTTTTTCTCTATAAGGCCCTTCTCCTTTCTCTCTAGAAATCATCCTTATTTTTCCTACAGTACTTTCATGAAATCAGATCGCTGGACATTACATTCATATAAACTTGCAATTGAGAAATGAGCCATGTTGTTTTCTTGATAGCATGAACATAACTCTCATAGGAAAGGTCTTCTTGTCCTTCTCGTTGTGACAAGTACATTGAACTCCAAGTAATAGTATTTATCTCAAAGATTCAATGTTTCTCGAAAGGTAAGAAATCCCAACAATTTAGAGTCACTTACAATCTCCCAATCCATGATTTACGTCATCATTAGAACTTCTAAGGGTTTC